GGAGGAGATCCTCGATCGGTTTCGCCTTCCGCTCACCGCGGAGGACTATGAAGACGTGCGCGCCACCTGGAAGCGTCTCGGTACCTTCTCCCTCCTGATCACATGTCATCAAGCGGGTCCGCCCTTCTTGACCTTCTCTCCCCCCCCCTTCTGAGCACCTCAGCGCTGGCACGGGCGAAGAAGGACGGCAAGGAGGCCGCACAGTGCTTTGCACAGGACTGCTCGATCGAGGATTGCTCCACAGGTGCTGTGCTAGTGGCGACGCTCATTGATGATAACGATGATGGCGATGACCATGATGATGATGATGTCACTACATGATGAGCCTTTACTGATTACGCTTCTTTTTTTCTCACCTGTTTAACATCTGTGGTGGCGATGCAGGGCACGGGTGGCGGGGTCGTGGCGGCGTGGAGGACTACTACGCGGACCTGTTCAAAGCCTTTCCCGACGCCAACTTCGAGACGCTGGACCTCTTCGTACGAATGCACTCTCTTCTCTTGTGGCTAACCTTCGTTACCATCACCACCACCATCATCGTCATCACCACGTACCACCTAATGCGTTGCTTGTATCGGTGTAGATTGGTCCACAGGGCGTGGTGCAGGAGGTGCTGCTCACCGCCACACACAAAGGTACACATCAAGAAAGCAAAGAAAAACAGGGGGCTGACTACGCAAAGACTTGACTGATGATGATTGCCTTTGGCATCATCAACTTCTTTGTTTGTTGGGGAGGGGGAACAGGTCAATGGCAGAGCTACAGGGCATCGGGGCGCACGTTTCACTGTCGGTTGGTGATCCTCATGCCGTGGGACGCGCAGAGTAGGCTCTTCGCCGGCGAGAAGATCTACCTCGACTCCGACGACGTCTTCCAACAGCAGCACGGCTCCTGACCAGTCAAAGATCTCTTTTTTGGTATTTGGCGCCAATGGCAATGCGTAACTTTTGGCGGGGGATGGTGTGCTTGCGCGCCAGCTGCTTGTAGGCGGCAACCAGTTGGGCGTCGGTGAAGAGGCCGCTCGGCTCCACCACGGAGAGCTCGTTGACGCTCATCATGTTCGTCTTGGTGCGCTCGATCAAACCCGCCACCTTCTTCTTCGCCTCGTCAATAGCGGCACTCTTCTTATTCTTCTTTTTCTTGTCGTCAGCGTTGTCGTTGTCGTAGTAGGGCTCCTCGGCGGCGGCTTCGCTGAGGTGGTGCTTGTAGCGCCGCTGGACAGCGCGGAAGATGATGATCTGGGTGTGAGAGCACCAGTCCATGTCAACCACCTTAGCCACTGCAGCGTTGGACAGGCCCAGCCAGGAGCTGGATGTCAGTGCAGTGGGGGTTGTCCACCATCTGCGCCAGCTGGTCTCCAAGGGCAGTCACCAACAGGTGCTGCAGGTCCCCTGTCCTTGGCTTTTTCATGGTGGAGCTGGAGGGACTGGTGCTGGTTGATGCCCACTTTGCAGTCTCCTCCTCAGGCCTGCTCCTTTTCATCATTCTAGTGGTCTGGATGACATGGCAGTGGGTGAGTGCCATGTTCTTGTAGGCCACCATCAGTTGGGCATTGGTGAAGTGGCTGCTCAGCTCCACTACCCTGCAGAGCTCATTGATGCATCAGCTTCATCTTGATGCCCCTGATCAGACCCACCACCTTCTTCTTTGCCTCTGATGGTGTGGCTCCACATTGCAGATCTCTGCCCAGTGCCAGAACACTGGTGCCAGCAACAACAACACCTCTGACATAGAAACCAACAAAGATGAGGAAGATGAAGATGCCAAAGATGGAGATGAAGACACTGAAGAGGGCAGCAGAGGTTGGCCCTCTCAAAAATTGCCACCAAGGAATCTGGCAATGACAGCTGAACAGGCCACAAGGGTGACTTTGGATGTGTAGATGGGTGCAGCCTCTTGACCTACCTGGAGTTCAACATCAGCACAGAGGGTTGTCCACCATGTCATGTGCTGGTCCCTTCTTTGCCTTTTTTGTGGTACTGGTGGTGGGTGCATGCTTACCCAAGGTTGCCTTGGCCTCATCCTCTGGCCTGCTCCTTTTCATCTTGCCTGCGATCGAGTGAGCTTGATTCCCAATTTCGTGTACTTAAAATAATGAAGAGTGTTTAAGGTGGCGAGCCAGCAGGGACGTGGTTTTTCCTGATTTTTGGAGGAGAGATTTCTTCGGCAGAATTCCTTTGGGCTACAAGTCCAGTACGGAGAGAGGTGAGATGGAGTACATTCACAAATACCACTACCAGCCTGCCGAACTGGGTACCAACTCCCCCTTGCAGGGTTATGCTTTTCCATCTACATGTAATCAGTTGAATCCATTCTACTTTTCCAGCCTTCTTTGTTTATTTGCCCCCCCCCCTCTCCCTTTTTCAAGAGTAACAAAGGCCCACCGCTTCCCACTCCCATCTTGTTGCATGTTTCTTCTACCAATCAATCATCTCATATTTCTATATTATGGCACAGCTGCACGGGGCGAGCTGCCACCGCTCGAAGAGTCGCCCATATGGCTGCTGGGCCATCGCTACGACCCCGAGGTCGGCGGCCTCTCCAGCGCCGGCGTCTGCGACGAGCTTCGCGTCGGCGGCCGCGGCCGCAGCACCACGCACCAGCACCACCACGACTCGCCGCTCACCACGCAGGCCAGCGACCAAGGCGAGGCCCAGGGCCAGGGCGATGAGGAAGAAGGAGACTGCGGGCCGCCCACGGTGTTCACGATGCTGCACGGCTCGGAGCGGCGCTGGGCCTCGTTCCTGACTCACTTCCGGTCGGTCGTGTGGTGCACCTACCGCGCGGCGTTCCCGCGGCTCGGGTCGGACAGCTACACGTCCGACATGGGCTGGGGCTGCATGCTCCGCACCGGCCAGATGGTCCTCGCGCAGACCCTCACCCGCCACCTCCTCGGCACCGGTACTCCCCTTCGCTCTCACCGCGCGTGCGTGCGGTCGTGCGTGTGCGTTCCTTTTTGGCTTACAGACGCCCGCACACGACACACAGAGTGGAGGCGACAGAGCGATCGTTCGTCGCCCCTCTATGCCAAGGTATGCGCTCAAACTCAAAGCCATCGCTTTCGTCTGCCCCTCTACTTCTTTGGCAGGTTGCCTGGTGTTGACTTCACGCGTCGCTTACACGTGTGTCGTGTCGTGTCGTGTCGTGTGATGCAGATGGTGCAGTGGTTTGCGGACGATCCCAAGCAGCCGTTTTCGTTGCACAGAATCGCGCACGCCGGTCTCAAGTACGGCAAAAACGTGGGCGAGTGGTTCGGCCCCTCCACCATGGCCCAAGTCCTCGAGTACGCGCCGCTGTCTGCTTCTTTTTTTCTTTTCTTTTTTCTTTTTCATTTTAATCCTGCACATTCATAATTATTTACTTTTACGTTTACTTTTAAAACATGTTACTTATATGTCTCTTCAAACGTGTATCCACAACAGAGAACTGCTGAAGGAGTTTTCGCCGAGCGGGCTGCGAGCGTACGTGTGCCAGGACGGCTGTCTCTACTTGGACCAACTGCGTCGTACCGCCACAGCCGCGCATTGGCCGCTCGACGAAGACGGTGTGGCACCCTCCCATCTGTATGCACGTGTGCGTGTGCGTGTGCGCGGTGGTGCTGATGCTCGCCATTTGGTCAAGCAGACGATGAGGGCCAGGGAAAGTCGTGGGCGCCGATGTTGATCATGCTGCCGCTCAGGCTGGGCCTCGATCAGCTCAACGAGGACTACGCGCCCGTCCTCAAGGAGACCTTCCGCATTCCACAGAGCGTCGGCATCTCCGGCGGCAAACCCCGAGCCTCCCTCTACTTTGTTGGCAATCAAGGTATCGTGTGCCCACGTGCGGTGTGTGCGGTGTGTGCGGTGTGTGCGGTGTGTGCGGTGTGTGCGGTGTGTGCGCTGTTTTAATCTCGTGTGTCTTGTTGGTGTGGCAGACGACTATGTGTTCTATTTGGATCCGCACACGGTGCAGCCGGCCCCGCGATTTCCCGAAGTAGGGGACGTGCCCGCCTCGGAGGACGTCTACGACACCTTCCACTGCTCCGCGCCGCTCCGGCTGCCCATTCGGTACCATTCGCATTGCACGAGACGACACTCGCGCACTCATGTCGTGTGTCAAACAAAGTTTGGCTTTTGGCTTATGTTCTTTTCTTTGGGTGTGCAGGGATATCGATCCGTCGCTCTGCCTGGCGTTCTACTGTCGCAACAGGGAAGACTTTGACGACTTCTGCGCTCGTGCCATTCAGGTACTGTTCGCACACACGACACGACACGCACCACGACACGACACGACACACAACCGCACGACACACAACCGATGACACTCACGACACGATTGATGCGATTGGTGTAATTCGCAGTTGTCGGAAGGGCCGATGCCGATCTTCACGGTGGCGGAGCGGATGCCGGATTACTTGGTGCGGCCCAAGCCGCCCAAGCACTCGGAGAAACTCTTCTCTGACGACGAGGACGACGTCGTCTTCATCTAACAAGGGAATCACCTGTCCCCCCCCCGCTCACAACCAGCCAGCCAAGGCCCTTTCCTTCCAAGTGTGCCCAACCTCTTTCCATGTACAGTCTCAAGTGGTCCCAACAATAAACGGAAGAGGTGCCGGACAAGCTGCTTGTGTCGTTCACAGTGGACCACTACAAGGGGGAAGAGTAAATAATTGTTTTATTCAGCTGAGATGAAAAGGAGCAGGCCGGGAGACAACTCTGTGAAGGGGGCATCGACCAAGACAAGCAACCAGCAGCCACCAACAAACCTTGGGGACCAGCTGGCACGCATGGTGGACAACCCCCTCTGTGCCGACGTCCAGCTCCTGGTGGGCCAAGAGGCCACGCCTGTCTATGCGTCCAAGGTCATCCTCATGGCCCGCTCGCCTGTCTTCGAGGCCCTCCTCGGCGGCAACTTCCGCGAAGGCCAACCTCCACCCTCGTCTTCCTCTTCTGCTTCATCGTCGCTGGCGCCGGTGTTCTGGCACCGGGCGGAGATTCGCGACGTGGAGCCGCGTACGATGCGCCACCTGCTCCACAGCCTCTACACCGACCAGCTCCACCCCGACTTCTTGTCACCAGCCCCCTACAGCGACGACGGAAACAACGATTCGACCGCGCCGACCCAACAGCAGCAGGACCTGGTGGCGCTCTACATGGCGGCCGATTGCTACCTGGTCGACAAGGTCCGGGCTCTGGTCAGGCGCGAGCTCGGGCGGAGCTTCGACGACGACGACGCCAACGTGCTGCCGGTGTTCGACATGGTCCTGGCTGTGGCGCCCGAGCTGGCCATGCACGTGTGCCAGCCCATCATCGAAACCCACGCCTGGTCGTTACTAGGCAACCAACACGCCTACCTGGAGGCCCTGTGGCTGGGCCTGTCAGACACTGCCGCGGCCCGCGTGGTCCGCATGAACCTCAGGGGAATTGGCGAGATCGAGCTGTTCGGCGCCATCCAGCGGCGCTACGAGCACCACCTCGCTGAGGCCATGGAGCTAGTCGAGGACGACGAAGACGATGATTGTGAAAAAGGCCAAGAAAACGGCGATGACAAGAAGATGATGAAGAAGAGAGAAGCAGCCATCGCAGAGGCCAAGAACAAGGTGGCCGGCTTGATCGAGGGCATCAAGACGAGCCTGATGAGCGTCGACGAGCTCTGCAGCGTGGTGGAGCCCAGCGGCCTCTTCACCGACGCCCAACTGCTGGCGGCCTACAGGCACGCAGCGCTCAACCACCGCTACGTCATCCACGACCTGTGGTGCGGCTACTCGCTCTTCAACGGCCAGGTCGAGGATGGAAATATCAGGTGGCGCCTCGCTGTGTGCAGGACCCCTACGAGCAGGACCCCTACGAGCTGGACGGTCGACTTCCGCATCAGGACGGATAGAGCGGATCCGCACAGTACTGACAGCCTGTCGGCCGAGGGGGTCACGATCACGATCTACTGCGACCGCCGCTGCGTGAAGTCCTTCTGGGCCCCGGCCACAACGGTGGTCACCATGCCTGACAGGCTGAGCGTCCCATTCACCATGCAGCCCCACACTGGGCGGGTGACAATCTTTGTCCACGCGCCCCCCACTGCATTCACCCAGGCTGGGCCGATCTAAGATGTGCCTTGCCCACCCAAAAATGAAGATCAAAATTGACACGCAGTATTTAGATGGGTGAAGTGAAGAGGAAGCGATCGTGGAGGTGTTGCGGGAGCAGGGCCACAGTCTGGGCCACCGCGGGGGGCTGAGGTGCGAGCTCGAGGCGGCTGCGGTGGCCGTAGGCGCAGAGCGCGAGGAGCGAGGGCGCGTCCATGCCCAACGGCCCCAGAAACGAGAGCGCCGTGTCGAGGTAGGCCCGCAGCCGTGCGTCGCCCGTGGTCATGCGAATGGCCAACACATCGCCCAGCAGCTCTTCGCTCTTGAACAGCGGCCTGTGCACAGCTGGTCGTGTCGCATGTCGTGTCGTGTGTCGTGTGTGTCGTGTGTGTCGTGTGTGTCGTGTGTGTCGTGTGGGTTACAAGGGGAACGACCGCCAAAAAGAGAAGACGAGGGGCGTACCAGTCTGTGAGAGGGTGGCGAGAATGAAGCCGCTCATCTGCCGAATGGGCGCGTGGCGGGAGGACATGAGCGAGAAGAACGGCTGAATGAACTTCCACACCATCCCCTGCTCTTTGTCCAGCTCGGCAATTTCCTGCAGATAATTTGATTGATTTTTAAATATTTTCGTAATTAGTATTTAAAATAAATAAAGTTATGATTAAAAAACGGAATAAAAATTGATTATTTATGAAAAAGCAGCTGGCGACACGCACGTGTGGTTGGAGGTCTTCTAGGAAGGAGGAGACGTGGGTCAGCACGCCCATCGCCAGGAGCCGATCTTCGCTCTCGGCTGTTGGGGGCGAGGCGAGACCAAGCCCGCGCGTCAGTGACACCCGCGCGTGTGCGGTGGTGCGTGTGGTGTGTGCGGGTGCAGCGGTGTGGGATGGAACGTACAGTCCAGGGTGAGAAGGGCCATGCACACGACACTCACGTAGCGGAGCATGTTGTCTTGCGTTGACGAGGCGGCCGCGATGACGCTCTGCGTGGCGTCCCGCTCCACCAGATGCCGCCGGCACCTCGCTGTTATGCGTGTATTGTTGTTATCTATAATCCATCATCAAAATCTTTTATTTATTTATTTATTTATTTATTAGAGACTAGGGCGTACGATTGGAGGCAAGACAAAGGAGGCAGCCAATCAGGCAAGTGTGCTCGGACTCAGAAACCTGGTCCAGGTGGCCGGCCAGATCGACGAGCGTATCGCTCAGGCCCATCTTCACCACATGCTCCTGCACGTCCTCTGCACACACACACCCCCACACACAACCCACCGTCACTACTGCGAAGTGGTTCGGCCACCCTTGTCTCACACGCGATACGCACACGACACACGACACACGGCACACGGCACACGGCACACGCGTACCGAATTCGAGGTAGCCCCAGAGACAACCGATCGACGCGGAGACGAGGTCCTGGTCTGCTGACCGCACCAGCGGGAACATGATCTCGAGAGACCCCAGCTCGAGCACAATGCGCGACATCTCGTCTATGTCCGCCACAATCGATTGGGTGACGGTGAAAAAAAGAATGAAAGAATGCAAGAGAAAGAACGAACAAACGAACGAACGAACCGGTGGAGGCGAAGTTCCAGATGCAGCCGACGGCGTAGTAGCAGAGGATGGTGTTGTGCTTGCAGGTGTCGACGATGGAGAGGAGCTTCTCCACAGCCCCCTCCTGCTTGGCGAAGTAGACCTTGTTCGCCTCTGCGTGCGCGCAACACCGACAGTCGCAAGTCGCAGTCAGTCGCCCTTGCCATTGGTCATAAATATAAATGTCACGCGAGCATAGGCCGCGTGCCGCGTGAGCCAGCGTGCCTTTGACAGGGTCGAGCCAAGGGAAGAACAGTTCAAAGCCCAGCCTGGCGGAAAGAGAAAAATAAGAATAATAATGTGAATATAAATAAACGAAAGAAAGAGCGAACTGTTTGGGGTGGGCGTGTGCACGTTCGAAGACCGGCAATGGTGGCACCCAAGTTGTTGTTGTCATCGTCGTCATCGTCGGCGTTGGTCGTTATTTTTTGGGTGGGGGTGAAAGCGTGGAGCACGCGAAGAGCTTCGTCCAGCAGCTCCCGCTCTGCCGCGCTGTCGTCCCGGTTGGCTGCCACCAGACGTTCCCTCGTGACGCTCGTGCGCCCAACAGCAGCTGCTGCCCGCTCCATCTGTTGTGCCTTCTTGTTCTGAGCGGTTGCTGCTTTCTCCCTCTTTTCTTGCAAATCAATATTGTTCAGGAAATTATGATCGTGCCTTCAATGTTGAATTGCACATTCTTACAGACCTGTCAGCAAGAACGATGAAGATCCTTTTGAAATGGTGGCAAGCAATCCTTGTTCAACGCTCGCGATAGATATGTACAGAAGCTCGATTTGCTTACACCTGTCTCTTCGATCTATGCGGAGCGCGGGCTGCGTCCAGCCATTACTCGATAAAGGCGGTGGCGGGCACGTGGACGATGAGGGTCGCCCGCACGAGAGCGGCGGAGTCCACCGGGACGGGAACGCACAGCTCTCCGGGCACTGAGACCGACGTTGCGGCGGGGGCCACATAGTGAAGGAGACAGCGGCGGTTGTGGAAGAACGAGACGGAGACGCCCTCGGCCGACACCGCCTTGGGCCGCGTCTCGTCCTTCTTCCTCAGCGCCGCGACCTTGACGAGTACCCACTCTTCATTCCAACCCCTGCGCACAGCGAGGTGCCACACGATCTTCCCGTGTCGCACACGATCGTCGGAGGAGAACAGCCGCCTGGAGCGAAGCTCGGGGACGATGAAGCGGTGGTTGCGCGCCGCCTGCTTGTAGGCCGCGCCAAGCTGCGCGTCGGTGAAGAGGCCGCTCGGCTCCACAACGTCGATCAGCTCCTCGACGCTCATCAGAATCGTCCTTATGCCCTCGAGCAGGCACGCCACCTTCTCCCTCGCTGCGGCCGCCGCGGCCGATCTCCTGTTGTCGTGGTCGTCGCTGTCAGCGCTGGCATCGTAGGCTTCGGCGCGGTGGTGCTCGTAGCGCCTCACGACGGCGCGGAACAGGTCTACCTCCTCGAACTTCTCGAGGTCGCCCTCGACCAGCTGAGCAGCGGCGGCGGGCGACATGGCCAACCATTGCGCCTCGGTCTCCTTCCTCTTGCCGCCCAGGAACTTGGTGGCGTCTGTCGTGATGCAGCTCTGGGCAAGCGAGGCCAACTGGGGTGCGAACTCGAAAGCTTGGTCGAAGACCGAAAGAGCGTTGCGGTTATTCTTGCCGAGCATCAGGGTCAGCTTGCACTTGACCGACTCCTTGCAACTGTCGAGTAAGTAGCGATCGGCCGCGACGTACAGGGAGACGAGGTCGCTCTCTTGCAGGGTCGGGGAGCGCGAGGAGTCATCCTCCCGAAAGAAGTCGGGGTGGAGCCGGGTCGTGTAGCACCAGTGGAGCAGGTGGCGCATCGTGCGCGGCTCCATGTCGCGGATCTCCACCCGGTGCCAGAAGACAGGCGGTAGTGACGACGAGGTATCCGACGTAGACGTAGAGACTGAGGTAGAAGACGAGGGAGGCAGAGCTTCACGAAAGTTGCCGCACAGGAGGGCTTTGAAGACGGAGGAGCGCATCACAAGGAAGACCTTGGACGCGTAGACGGGCGTGCCGTCATCGCCGACGAGGAACTCGACGTCGGCGGACTCTGGGTTGTCCATGATGCCCGCCAGCTGCTCGTTGAAACTCACTTTGCATAGCTTGGAGTGGTCATGCAGGGCTTGTGAATAGAGCCTTTTGAAGTTCATTCTGCACAGCACACGCAGCACGCATAAGGCTCCTGTGGAAGACAAGAAGCCCACCCCCGCCTCCGACTTGTACTTCTTCTACTTCTTCGACCTCTACTAACGCGTCGGCAGGGATGCAGGAGCAACAAGGGCTCGACGAGGAGTAGTACCTTGCTGGTCAGGGGTTGCGAACGTAGCGATAGAGCTGATGAAGATCGTAAGAGCTGGAGTAGCGACGAAGGTCGGAAGAGCTGGAGTAGCGAAACGATCGAGGCTTGAAGAGACAATGAGCCTGCGCGCTCAAGAGGGAACAAAACAAAACGGAAATTTCACTCTTGTTTTCGCGCCAAAACGCATTCGCGCCAAAACGCCCACCACCTCACTGGAGGCCCACTTGGGCGCCGGCGATGTGGAAGAGCTCTCGCAGGAGCGGCTTCACCTGGTCCTCGCGCGTCGTGATGCAGTCGCACAGCTGCGGATACAGACGCAGCAGGTGCTCTCTCGACCGCCACACCCGACCACTTTCCTGTGTGTCGTGCGTCATCATAAGCACGAGCACGACACATGCACGACACGACACACACGGTGCAACACAGGAGGCGTACCATGGAGGTCTCCTCGGCTTCGGTTTCGGGGAGGGGCAGACCGGGCTGGAGCTGGAGATCGCGCAGCTGCCGCAGGAGCGCTGTCACCTCGGCCAGCTGGTGGCGCGGCAGCGGCCGGCCGGCGGCCAGCCGCCGCTCGTCGTCCTGCACGAACCGGTGCAGCACCGCGCGGGCGCGGGCCATCACCAGCGGGAACGCCAACCGGCCCACGCGCCCGTGGCACGAGTACCCGTCTGTCCGTATTTTTCGGCATATGCCGAGTCAGCGGCGACTTAATGGCGCGAGGAGTTGAGTTTCGGTGGGGGGCGGCACCATCGGGGTTCGCGGCGTGGGCGCACAGGCGGCAGAGATTGGCGTAGCAGCCCTCGGCGAAGGTCTCCCGCTGGTCGGCCGGCTCCGCATGGAACACCGATCCTTCCCTGCGTGTCGTGTCGTGTGCGGTGTGCGTGTGCGATGCGTGAGTCAAACTATGCCAAGAATGCAACACAGGCTTGGGGGGAGGGGTGGATAGTTAACTGGAGGATGCTGATGAGGCGCGCGTGGAGGAAGGGCACCCCGGCGGCGCAGCGGAGCATGTGGAGGGCGAGCATGTCGGCCAAGCCCACGTCGAGGGCCTCGTCCTCGGCCGCCTCGTCGGCCGTCCGGCCGGCTGGCGGCAGCTGTCGGGGGGCCGCGTGGAAGAGGAAGTCCTGCAGGCACGCGTAGAGCTGGGTCCACACCCGCCGCTCCTGCTCCTCGCCCAGATCTGCCCGAGCGCCACTTTAAGTCAGCACCACAAAAAAGCCAGCGAGGGGCGAAAAAGAGTGGAGCGAGGGGGGCGAAGACGACGATGGGGTCGATACCAGGTGTGCGGGCGACGATGGGGAGGGCGTGGGTGACGGCGCGGGTGAAGGCCCGCACGGCCGTTCGCCATAGGGGCGACGCATAGCTCACATATTTGAGCATCATGCCCGCGCCCAACACCGTGATGAGCTCTTCGAAGACCTGGGAGACGACTGCGGGCGGCGCGGTCTCGAGACAGCGCACGGACAGGTCCATGGCCTTCATCGCCAGCGGATGGAAGCGCCGGCCGGGCAGTACCGCCGCCGCCTTCTGAGGCACCGACGACGACGACGGCAACGGTGACGCGGGCGACGGTGCGGGCGCATAGTTGATGGCAGTCGTCACGTAGTCCGTCAGCTGCTTGAACACCACCGGGTAGATCTCTTCGGCGACCGGCAACTGCAATTCATTCCACGTGCGTGCCGTGCGTGCGGTGGCGCGTGTGCGATGAGTGGAATGTGAAAAATGCAGTGGCAGTACGGTGGGGAGTGGGGGGGGGGAATTACCAGCTTCTCGATGACCTTGAGGACCTTCTTCTGGAGGGGCGAGATGCGGCGCTCCTCCTCGCCCGGGTAGAGGGCCAGCGGGCCGACGATGCCCAGCAGCCGCCGGATGTCGCCCGTCGTGCACGCCCCGCGGAACTTTGAGTGGACGTGGCCCACCGTGCGCACCAGCTCCAGCAGCGACTGATGCGGGATCTGACGACCGCACACGCACGACCGCACACACGGTGAGGAAAACAGAGGGGATTTGACCAGAAGCGAACGAGTGGCGAAGAAGTACGTCGGAGAAGGGGAGGTCGCGCGGGTGGTGGCGGGTGAGGTAGTCGCCGATCTGCTGGAGCGTGGTCCACATGTCTTCCCACAGCAGCCGCTCGAACCGGTCGTCAGCCACGTGCGGGTGCATCAACTCGCGCAGCGATTGGATTGCACACTTGATTGTTGCGTGTGCGTGTGTGCGGTGCGGGTGTGTGCCTGACGTCAGCATTTCATAGAAAAAGACGTGTTGACGTTCGACGAGGGGGAGCGCACGGCGGAGACTTCGGCCGAGTGGGAGGTGGCGGCCGAGAGGAACAGTCCCAGGAGGGCGCTCCACGTTTGGGCGAAGTCCGGCAGGGCACTCAACGTCGGGAAGTACGTACGGAACACCTTCCGTGATCAGCACACCACACGCGACACGACACAGCACACAGCACGCAACACGACACACATCAGGTGGTCGGCACGGGCAGGGAGACACGCACACGGGAGAAGGTGTTGCCGGGCATTACCTGTACAATGCCCTGGAGGGCCAAAACTTGTGTCTCGTTCCATTGCTTCTCCTCCGTGTTGCGCGTGTGGTGCACCATCCTGCGTGCGCCGGTGAACACACGAACACCAGTGGCACGACACGCACACGACGACACGCACGACACGCACACGACTGCGCGAAACGTACATGATGACGGACTTGCCGCCCTCCTTGCCCAGCTCGGTGTCGATTCGATTCTTACCGGCCGACGCCGACAAGTTGCGGATCTCATTCATCAATGGGAACAAGATCTGCTCCACAGGTTCACAGTTAATGACACGCACGTGCCGTGTTAGGCGTGTGCGTGTGCGGTATGTGTGTGTGCGGTGGTGCGTGTGCGGTACCTGAGCGATGACGGAAGGCCAGATGTCGTGTTCGAGGAGGGAGCCATGGGTGGAGAGGGTCTTGAAGAGCGTCTGGATCGCGCAGTTCCTCACCTCCGTCCGCGCGTCGACGCACAGCTGCTTCAGCTCGTGGTACGTCGACAACCACAGCCTTCAAACACCATACACGACCGCACACACGCATAACACGGCACGACACACGCGTGTAAGTATTGGCTTAGTTTGGTGGTCAGTCACGCGTTCAAGGCGAAGGTAGTACTTGTTGGACGTGGTGGAGTCCATCAGCCAGGAGCCCAAGATCAGCTCCGCCTCCTTCTCCACCGCCTCTCTATTGTTTTTGGTCGAACGTTAGACGCACGACACACACGACACGCACACGTTGGCAATGCAACACGCACATGCACGGACAGGAAAGCACGCATGGATGGCGTACGCGAGCTGCTTGCGGAGGGCCTTGATTTCGGTGGCGAGGAAGTCGGAGATGTTCCACAGGAGGCCCACGGCGGTGAGGGAGATGTTCATGAAGGCCGTCTGCCGCCCGAACTTGCCAATCGCCACGATCACCTTCTCCACGCATTCTGCTCCCCCACAAGTAAAACATTATTATTATTATTATTATTAAATAATTCAAGAAAAAATATGTACCGATGGGGAGGTTGGTGAGGAAGTCGGAGCAGATGAAGCCGAGACAGCGGAAGGCCACTTGGATGAGCTGCTTGTCGTTGTTGCCCTTGTTGATGATCGCCAGCACCACCGGCCACCCCGTCGACAGCGACTACACACGACACAGAGTGTCAATCAGTTACCTACACGCACGACCGCACGACCGCACGACACGCACCACCGCACACGCACACGCACACACGTACCTGGCCAGATGACTGAAGGATGGCGAAGAGGGCCTGCATGGTCTTGGAGCGGGTGTCGGTGTGCTTCGATTGGGCGAGCGCATCGAGCAGCTCCAGAAACGGGATCTGCATGTCGGGCACCGGCGGCGCCTGCTTGTCGACCGTGCGCCGCCGCAGAGAAGACGGCGACGTCATGCCCGGCGTGCTCGGCTGTATGTGCGTGTGCGTGTGCATGTGCGGTGAGTCGACGCTAATTTGATCAAAGAATTCCAAACACGCGCGCACCTGTGGGGTGGGGGCGGGGGCGGGAGAGCGGATGGGCAGCGAGGGCGCGGGGCTCTGGTCGAGCGGGGTGCCGACGGTGGGCGCCACGGAGGACATGTCGTAGAGGATCTGCGAGATCTGGGCCTTGGACGAGAACGAGGGCACCGAGAAGGAGCGGCGCGGGATCGCGGGCAGCCGGGTGAGCGACGTCTCCATGATCTTGGCCAGCGACTCCACGCCATAGCTCCGCACCGACGGCACCTGTCAACCCATGAAAGAAAGCGAAACGAAACGAAAACGAAATGTTTCAGTTTTTGGTTCGTGTTTGTAAAAATAATAAATAAATAGTTACCTTGTGATTGGACACCAGGATGAGGTGGGCGGAGATGATTGGCCAGGTGGTGTCGATCCGGATAATGTTCTGAAGGGCGGTATCCACCAGCTTGGACAGACCAAACAGGGGCGCCGGCTAGAGCAGATACGACCAGCGTGAGGTAAGCCGGTGCTTGGTGACAGAGAGCTGAGACGTACGTGGTTGACCGGCGTGGCCGCATCGGAGGGCGTCGTCGCTGGTCGCTTCACCTCGTAGGCCAGCAGCGCATTCGACGATAGCGATGCCTTCGCAGAAGAAGAACGAAGAAGGTGTGAGCTCAAGAATTGGTGAAGGGGTACGAGGGTGGCACTTACGAGAGCGGCAATGAAGTGTTCGAGGGACTGGTCGTCGAGGTACTTGCTGCCTTCGAACACTGACTCGAGGCTTGTAGACAAATAACTGATCTCTCTGGGCGATGGCAGCCGCTCGATGCCGCGCGACGAGTCGTCGGACGTCTTGACACCTGCACATTCCACGAAATCAATTAAATAAAATAAATAGAAAGAATGTTGCACATTCCACCACGTCAGCACTCTGGAATGCGAGGCTGGCGCGGTGGTACCAGAGGAGGAGGCGCCCAGGCCGCCGTTGCCCGAGCCGCCGATACCGGGCAGCGCCGTGGCCGATCCCTTCTTCTCCAGCGTGGGGTTGGGCGCATCTGCATGGCCACCATAAGGTGAGTTGTGCGGCGCGCGAGGCACGCGGTGGTGATGCGTGTATGACGTGTGCGACGTGTGTGCGACGTGTGCGTGAAGCTTTACCAGAGGGGGCAAGAAGGGACTTGGCGGATGTCGGGTGCAGAATGGAGTGGAGCGTCTCGAGCGTCTGAAGCACGAGCGGCCACGCGCTGCCCAGGATGCCGCCCATTCCGTGTGCCAAGCTTATCAGCGTACGCAGTGCCAGCACGTTCTTGCCCATCTGTCGACGCATGGTCATCAGTTGATGAACTAAGCACACGCGACACCACACACGCGACACACACGCGGCACGACACGACACGACCAATGACACGACACACAGATGGTTGACGCACCAGTACGCCATCGAAGACTTGGATCTTGGTGGTGACGGTCTTGGTGGGCGTGGGCTCAGTCCCGTCCTTGTCATCGCCGCCAGTCTCGGCCGTGATGGTGACGGAAGACGAGGGAATCGCAAAATGGCACAGTGACGTCAGGAACGCGTCCCTGATGAGTGTGTGTCGTGTCGAGTCGCGTGTCGCGTGTTGTGAGAAAAGACGCTACACACATCAGTCAAAAGAGAAAAAAGCGAACCGTGGAGCGATGAGTTCGTTGGAGCCGCAGATGTGGATGAAGAGCTGGTAGGCGCGCAGGATGCCCTCCACGATGCTCTCGTCGCCGGCCTTGGTCAGCATCAGGGCGAGGGCCGGCAGAATCGACGTCCACGAGCTCTCCGCCATGCGCCTGCTGATCTCCATCCCGCTCATCTTCTATCGTTGCCACAAAAAATGAATATAAAATAGATTAATTGAAAATCAAATGAACATAAATAAATAATAATAGTAGTAAAAATTGGATTTACCTTTGTATCTTTTTGGGCGGCGGTGTTGTCTTCGTCTTCGGATTGTTGATCGGCGCTGCCGGGTCCCTCCTCTTCTTCCTCCTCTTCGTCTTCGTCTTCGTTGATGTGGCTGCGCGGCGTCTGGACGTTGGTTTTGGCTGTCGGTGCGACGACCTCGACCTTTGTCACGCCGCCCTCCTCGAACGGATTGTCGAATTGAAGCACTGCGCGCCACACACAAGCCCGACTGTTAGTGTCGTTCGTGTGCGGCGGGCGTGCGTGCGTGTGCGGCGTGTGCGTACCTCGTCGGATGGGTTCGTATTGGAGGACGGGCGAGGGGAGCACTTTGACCTTTTGGATGGCGAGGCTTGCCACGGCGTCGATGATGGCTGTCAAGCACTCCAGCCCTAATATATTGCATTGGTCAATCCGTCTCTCAACGCGAAATACAACAAATAACAATAGATAATTGAATAATAACAATAATAATGGGACAGGTTACCCAGGTTGAGCGTGTAGCTGAGGCTGATGGTGGCCGGCGGCTCTCGGTGGCTCATCATGTCGATGCTGCATGCATAAAAAGCTCAGACGTCAGTCACGAGTGTAAAAACGGAGAAAATTAGCACGAATGATGACGACGCGCAAGTGAAGGCGGACCATTTGGTGCGCGCTGGTTCAGCGTGCATGACGAGCTTGTTGTTGAGGTCGAATATCTTCTGTACGAATCGGGCGATGGCCTTCACCATGCCCTCGAACACGAGTTGCGAATCCGCGGCCTCGACCGCCTGTAGAGCTTTCGCATCGTAGTTGACATACATCGACCTGCACCACAAATTAATAAATAAATAAATAAGAATAGCAAAAGATATAAACGGATAAAATTAACTTGAAATATCTACATGTATATAAAACAATAAACAATAAGCATACAAATAAAGAAAAGCGGCAAGACGAACCGGAGCAGCTTCTCGTTACTGCAGATGTCTTTAAGGACCTCCAGGGTGAGCGCCTTCGTCCAGATGGGAGTCTCCTGGGACATGATTCGCACCATCCGCTCCAGAAACACTTCACACTCGGACTGGTGTGCGTGCGTGCGTGCGTGCGTGCGTGCGTGCGTGCGTGCGTGCGTGCGTGCGTGCGTGCGTGCGGTGAGGGAGAGCGTCAGTCACAACCATAACCACTACGATACGAAGGAGCTGTGTGCGCACCCGCATGAGGTTGATGAAGTTCCTGATGAAGGTGCCCACCAAACGCAGCAGGCGAACCGAGTACGTGAACAAACCCGCCTTGGCGCCCAGCGCCTTTACCACCAGCGGACAGATGCGATCCTGCAGCCACAAAGTGCTAGGCATTCAGAACACCGCACACACAGCACGACACGACAAGACACGCGACACGACACACACGACACACACGACACGCATACCTTGAGGAGCAGCTGGAACTCGTAGATATGAATGAAGAGGGGTTGGTGGGTGGAGAGAAGGGCCTCGATGAGCTCAAACCCGAAGGTCTTCGAGATGGCCTGCACGGGCAGCCAGATCGGGTTGTCTCCGCCGGTGAGCGAGCACAAATCCTGCACAACGGCCAACGCACACGCCAACAAAGGGGTGGTTAAAAACAATCATTATAAAATAAATAAATGTTCAATATTTGAATAATTTGGTGGTGGTTGTGACGTGGCAGTAACCTGCAGGAGGAAGTGGGCGTCTTTGATGGAGGGCGGCAGGTTCTTGGGCATGCGCTGATTCGAGTCGCCCACGGCTGACTTCTCGCTGGGACTCTGCGCCATCGCATCCAACGTTTCACCGTCTGTTCAAACACACGATACACGCCGCACGACACACACACACAACAACAACAAACGAACGCGTTAGAAGAGCTGTGAATTGGTTTCGTGCTGGAGGAGGGTGGACGCACCGAGTTGCTGGAACTCGAGGAGCGCGCGATCGAAGAGCATGGTGACGATCTGTCGGAGCGTGGCCGAGGCGGTGTTCTTGATGGCCACGCTCTTGTTCTTGTGGAGGCGGAAGCACATGCACAGCGACTGCGACAGTGACTCGCCGTGCATGTTGGTCTGTGTGGTGAGCAGCGACACGACGGCCTGCAGGATCTTCAGCTTCACCGTGTCGTCGCCGGCCTCCACCTGCTGCGCCAGCACCCGCATGATGCGGGGTAGCGACGCCTGCGCGAATACACTGAGTCAGACGAATGCTGCGTCGTGTGTGTGCCGCGTGTGTTGCGTGTGTGTGCCGCGTGTGTTGCGTGTGTTGCGTGTGTTGCGTGTGTCGTGTCGTGTGCGTGTCGTGTGCGTGTGCGTGTCGGCGCGTGCCTCGCTGACGGCATTCTGGGCGATGAGCTTTTGGATGGAACCGACACCGATGGCGATCATCTTGGGGTTGTTGGAGTCGCACGCCAGCAGCAAAGGCTTCAGCACCTCGTCGGCTTTGGCCACGGCTGTAGGGCACATATTAATTTGTTAACACCAACAGCTCAGTGGACAATCAGACAAACGGCAACCAGCAGACACACGGCACTCGGGCACAAAGAAGAAGAGACGGTCAGTGGTCGGCACCTTCAATCTTTTTGGCGAGGTCGTGCTCTTGCTCGTCCACGTTGCGCAGCTTGAGAATGGCACGCTCTGTTGTCTGTCGGGGAAAATAATAAAAGAATTTTTATAAATAATGATTAATAGCACAGCCACAGATGTATTATACATTTTCGATAGTCATAATCAATAAATAAAAATAGAACGATGAAAACCAGTGCGATGACGGAATAAAAGATAAATTCAACGCAAGGCAGGGTACCTCTTTGATCTGGGGGAACTTCTTGCGCGCCTCGAGCGAGAGGGTGCGCAAGTCGTTCTGAAGCATGCTGAGGAAGCTCATCTCCTCTTCAAATCGCTGGAGCGCGAAGGAATCCGATTTAAATCAAAAAAGATAATCTAATTATAATAACTAAACCTTGCTTGCGCAGCGTGAGCGAGTGGGCAGGAGTGCGAGCCGCTGGCTGGTGTGCACGCGCACAGCTGTTTGTCGTGGTGGTGGTGTTTTGGGAGACGATCTAGCGCGCGCCTTTGCTCACGGGGTGCGCTGTGTTGTTCGGAGAGAACTACAGTGCTGATTTTGAGTCGACATTCCGTTGCGTGCCACTCAACTCAAATTCAACTTCAGAGCGTCACCATGGTGGTGGTCTGCACGATCAGACCAGGATGAGGTTTGTTCATCAACCTGCGCAGCCAAAGCAGTTGCTTCTTGCTTCTGTGCGTCGCTCACATCTTAACAAGTATTGTTTGAGATGCCGCGTTGCCCACCTTTTTCCTATTTTACGGTTAATTTAATAGGCATTATTATTCGAATTATTTGGTGCGTGGTTGGTGGTGTGGTCGCCAAGACGGTAGCAGAGGAGATTGGAGTCGTCGTACAGTTCTCCAGCAGTACGTATTGCTGTTGCCATCGCGTCGGACGACGAAGAAGAGGGTGAGAGTCGGCCACCAAGCGTTTTTGGATTGGCTTCATTCTTCCAAGAGCGAGTAGAGCGTGGATTGATGAATCGATTGCAGAATCGATAAGTTACTCCTCTCGCCGCACAACATCCTCACCATCAACTCTGTTTCTCCTTCCTCTACCTCCTTGCATCTCATCCATCATCCATCTAAGAACGAAAAAGAACGAAGATGACCGAAGTAGACGAACACACCATAATCGAGCTCAACGATAAATGCAAAAAGAAAAAATCGGACAAGCTCGGCGTCGAGGTCCTGAAGAGGAATGCTGAAGGCGGTGCGCCACCGAAGAAGAGGGCGATCCGATCCCATTCGACTGCGCCCCATTTCCCGTCATCGTCCGTCGCACCCAAGCCCAGGAGGGAGAAGCCGCACCATTCCGACGACGACGAGGAAGAGGGCGATGACAATAACAACAACATTGGTGAAGATGGAGGAGCAGAGGAGGAGACATCGACGATGGGAACGTCATCTTCATCAGTTAACCTCTCGGTAGATGACGACGATGACAATGACGATGACGAAGAGGATCAGGAAGATGAGAAGGAGGGGCGGTGCTACACGTTCGACGCCGCGTCGAGCAGCTGCGAGCTCTCGTTCGTCGATGAAGAGGAGGATGGAGACGCCGACACGGTGGACGACGACGAAGATGACGACGACGAGTCCGAGTCGTACGACACCACGACCGAGGGCACTGAAACGGCCTACGACGTCGAAGACAACGATGACGAGGGCGACGACAACGACCTACCACAGACTGAGCGCGTCGCCAAGGCCTCCACATTCGAGAGCATCAATGCCGTTACCGGCGTCGTTGGTACTCATCCCCCCCCCCTTCGCAAATCCCATCTTTCATGATTCCATTCATCATCGTTCTCGGTTGGGGGTTGCCATCTTTTCGTGTCGTCGAAACGACGGACGACTCGGTAACGAGCCAACAAGCACACCCGTCTCGTGTTTCTTACTTTAATATTACAATATTTACACTACGCGTAGACAACATATTTACGATATATTTATATGTTATTGTATTCATTTGAGCTCACATCATGCTCGTCGTGCTCCACCTCGATCCTCCAACATCGTGGTTGTGTTGTGTTGTTTCTTCTTCTTCTTCTTCGGAAATGAACGAAAGGACGTCCGCGAGGCCTGACCAAGCTCAAGCTGCCCCTGCGGGACTCGAGCGAGGGCAGCGAGCCCATCTCCTCCCCGCGGAGCTTCTCCAACTCGCCGCGGGGCTACTACTCGCCGCGCCCCATGATGACGCCCATGACCCCACACAAGGCCGCTCTCGGTACATTTCCCACTCCTCCAGCCCGCGCCGTATTCGTTATTTGTTCTTTATTATCTTTACCTTTTTATTTAGAAAAAATGAATAATTAATTACCATTTATCAGCTTTCCGCGGAATATTATTTATTATTTATTATTTTTATCTCACCGCGTGGCGACGGGACAGCCACGGCGACGCGCGAGCGGGTGTGCGACGTGGAGTACGTGGTGGAGGACGGGCAGCGCATGGTGGCCGCCGGCACCCTCCAGGGCCTGGTCGACAAACTCATCAGCATCGACGAAGGCGTCGTTGGTGCGTGCGCCGTCGACTTCGCCTGAACCACTTGACCCACCCTGCCAACGCTGACCGTGTGCGGTGCGTGTGTGTGTGCGGTGTGTGCGTGTGCGGTCAGACTTTGATCTGCACTACTTCACGTCGGTGTTCCTGATCACGCACCCCATGTACGTGTCCACCACGGAGCTGCTGCGGCGGATATTCGACGTCTACGAGGCGCCCGCCACGCCCTTCCCCGGCGGCGCCGACGATCCGCGGGTGCTCCAGCAGCGGGTGCGGACGCGCGTGCTCGAGGTGCTCAAGAAGTGGGTCGAGGAGTTCTTCAGCGACTTCAAGGCCGGCTGCGAGGCGCGCGAAGTGCTCGACACCTGGATCACCCAACAAGCCCAAGGCATGCCCCACCTATTTATTTACTGCTTATTTATTTATTTATTTGTAATTATAGTGTCGATTATTATTATTATCATTATTATTTTTAAATAATTTCTTGATTTCTGTGTTGCAGAGTTGACGGGGAGCGAGGATGGCGAGGAGGCGCTTGACCAGCAGAGCCAGCTCCTGAAGAAGATTCAGGCTCTGCTGTCGTCCAACGACCTCATCCAGGTATAGATCGTGGAGAATACCATTCACACATCACACCTTACAACGCAACACACCGACGTAGCTTCCACTAATGCTGTTCACGCCTTTTGGCCCCGCGTCGATAGAAACACATGGTGCCCATCGCACCCACGCCACCGCCCGCTGCCATGGCCCACCACAACGACCCTGGTAGGCCCCACACAACGACAAGTCGTGCGTGTCGTGCGCTAATAATGTGTGGAATGTGTGCATTCCAGACAAAATGAGCATTCCGCTGCCGCCTCCGCCGCCCGTGGACGACCTGTCGCGGTTCTGCGTGCTCGACTTCCCGCCGGCCAAGATCGCCCAGCAGCTGACCTTCATCGACTTCCAAATGTTCTCGGCCGTGCGCTTCAACGAGTTCTACCACTGCGCCTGGAGCAAGAAGAACTGCGAGCAGAACGCGCCCAACCTGGTGCGCCTCATCGAGCGGTTCAACAAGGTCTCCCAGTGGATCCAGACCTCGATCGTGCGCGTGCGCGACCTCAAGAAGCGCACCGCCGTTCTCGCACGCTTCATTCACATCGCCCAGGTACGTGTCTCCTCGTTGTCTGCGTGCCTGCGTGTGCGGTGGCGTGTGCGTCAGGCGCGTGTGCGCGTGTGCGGCCAGGCGTGTGTCGTTTTCTCATCACGGCGCGTTCTCCAGGAGTTTGAGTGGCTGCACAACTTCCAGGGCATGATGATGGTCAATGCCGCCCTCAACAACTCTGCCATCTCCCGCCTCAAGCACACATGGGCCGTACGTGCCTCCCATTCCTCAATAATTGGAAATACCAGAAATAACAATAACAAATGAATAATAAGAGGAATAAATAAATAATAAATCAATAATTGCTGACCGCTGGTGGTGTCGACAGGCGCTGGGAGATGAGGACCGAGAGAGGTTCGACTCGATCCAGAACTTCTTTTCGCCCTACCACAACTACGCGTCGTATCGCCAGAAGCTCCGCACCAGCGTGCCGCCCATCGTCCCCTTCATGGCCCTCTTCCTCACCGACCTCACCTTCATCGACGAAAACGAAGACAAGGTATCGACGCGTGTGCGTGTATGCGCGTGCGTGTGCGTGTGTGCGTGTGCGGTTTTAATGGCACACACTGAATTATTGGTCTACTTTGAAGGTGGCGCGGAAGAAGGCCGAGGCGGAGGGAGGCGCGACCGAGCACGACGCCAAAGAGGCCCACGACGAGCGCCCCCCCAAGGCCGCGGCCGAAGAAGACGGGGATGCCAAAGCCAACGCTGCCGACGCCGACGCCACCAAGGACTTCGAGGCCACGCCCGAGGAAATCAAAGACCTCGTCAACTTCCAGAAGATGGAGCTTGTCGGTGCGTGCGCGTGCGGTGGCGTGTGTGCGTGTGCGGTGACTGATGTGCGTGTGCGGTCGTGCGTGTGCGGTTGCAGGCAAGGTGCTGCTGAATGTGAGAAAGTTCCAGAAGGCGACCTACAAGAACCTCATCCCGTCGGGGCCGTTCCAGAAGCTATTCGGTGAGATCGCGGAGGTGGCGATGCCGTCGCCTGAGGAGGCGGCGCGCGAGAAGAAGAAGGAGGACCTCTACGCCGACTCGTGCTTCATGTGGAGCCTCGACCACATCTACAAGTACTCCCTCATCATCGAGCCCCGCGACGGCAAGCCGCCCAAGGCCAAGACCGCCAAGCCTAAAAAGTACGCCGCACACGCGCGACCGCACACGCACATGCGCGACCGCACGCGCTGACTTGTTGTGTTGTTGTCGGGCAGGTCGCATCGGTCCAGTGCGACGGCGCCGTCGTCGCTCGAGGGCAGCCCCGTGAAGCCCAAGAAGGAATCGCGGAAGGGCAGCAGCGCGGCTTCGAAGAAGTACGCGACGATGGGTCGGTCGAGCAAGAGGGCGCCCGACGCCACCCTCACCATCCAACAGAACCCTCTCCTCATGCAGCTCCAGTCCAGGTTCGCACGCACCACCGCACATGTCACACAACACGCGCTGACCGCACACGCACATGTCACACGACACGCGCTGACCGCACACGCACGCGCACGGCACGCACAGGAATCTGCAAAAGAGGACGTCGAGGAGCGGTTCGATCGACACGCCGTCGGCGACGAACCCGCCGCCGACCCCGCCCGGGCAGCCGCCCGTGACCATCAACCCGCTCATCGCCGCCGCGGCGGCCGCGGCCAAGAAGGAGAAGGAGCGGAGCTACTCGATGCCGCCCATCATTCTCGAGAAGTCGGCGTCGCTGTCGGCCCTGCGCAAGTACCGCGAGGAGAAGGAGGAGGAGCTCGAGCGCAGCAGAGACGAGAGCACCAGCAACAGCGACAGCAGCAAGAGCAACAGCTTCGACAACACGACGACGCTCGAGGGCGGCGGCGACACCGCACGAGAGGCAGCGCTGTCGCCGTCGTCGCTGTCGACATCGATGATGGCGGTGAGCGAGAGGAGGAAGTCGGACAAGAAGGAGCGAAAGGAAAAGAAGGAAAAGAAGGAGAAAAAGGAGAAGGGCAGCAAGCTGCACAAGAAGGAGAAGAAGCGGGACTCCAGCAAGAGCTCGCCGCTGCTGGCCACCACCGACTACTAAAGGCCCCAAAACCCAAGAAGAGCCCAGCAGCAACAAAGAACGAAGAAGGAACTCAGAGGAGGACGATGATGACGACGGTGGAGGACGTGTGTAATTATTTATATTCAGCACTAGTGCGTTTTGTGGAGCGGTTGTAAGAATACATCATAGTTTGTGTCACGCTCCGTGCTGGCGCGGTCTTTGTGCAAAGACTATAACGCTCGCTTCGAAGGTCACACGAATAGGAGTTTATTAGCAAAGCGACCTTGTCTCCCAAAGCCGCGACAATCGTCTGTCCACGCTCCTCCTCGCCAAGCACGTGGACCAGAGGATCGTTGTCCTTGAAGCTTATCTGCACGCACATGGCCCACGAAACACAATCCACTGCACACTTAAGAAGTTAGTGGCTGTTCTCACATCATCACCTGCCTACAGGCACAACACATTGCAAAGATGGTTACGAAACCCTACTAGTAGTAACGCCGCGCACGGCGACGCGGCCGGAGAGATGAGCGCCAAGCAGTTCTTCGCGAAGTTGGAGTGCCTCATTCCACTCCTCAGTGTTCACAAGCCTGCAGCTCCTCGCGCGGATGTGGGCATCGCCGCCTGCTGTTGTTCGAACTCGAGGAAGATACCGGACAAAGAACGAAGCGAGACAAAAACGAAGTAAAGAATGAAGATGTTGGATGTGTTTGTGCGCAGGAGCGCACGTTTGTTTTTTTTACTACAGTGTTTACAACAAGGTGCTCTCACTTAGAAGCACTTGCGGTGAACAATCGAGGGTTTCTTTCCCGCCCGATGTTTCTCCTTTCAAAAGCACTTGCGGTGGACAATCGAGGGACCAGACTCGTCGTACTCCTCCTTGGAGATCCACATCTGCTGGAAGGTGGAGAGCGAGGCGAGGATGGAGCCGCCGATCCAGACGGAGTACTTGCGCTCGGGCGGGGCGATGATCTTGATCTTCATGGTCGACGGCGCGAGGGCGGTGAGCTCCTTCTGCATGCGGTCGGCAATGCCGGGGAACATGGTGGTACCGCCCGACAGGACGACGTTACCGTAGAGGTCCTTCCTGATGTCGACGTCGCACTTCATGATCGAGTTGTAGGTGGTCTCGTGGATGCCGGCCGACTCCATGCCGAGGAACGAGGGCTGGAACAGGGCCTCGGGCGCGCGGAAGCGCTCGTTACCGATGGTGATGACCTGACCGTCGGGAAGCTCGTACGACTTCTCGAGGGCCGACGACGAGGCGGCGGTGTGCATCTCCTGCTCGAAGTCGAGGGCGACGTAGCACAGCTTCTCCTTGATGTCACGCACGATCTCGCGCTCGGCGGTGGTGGTGAACGAGTAGCCGCGCTCGGTGAGGATCTTCATGAGGTAGTCAGTGAGATCGCGACCGGCGAGATCGAGACGCAGGATGGCGTGGGGCAGGGCATAGCCCTCGTAGATGGGCACGGTGTGGGTGACGCCGTCGCCCGAGTCAAGCACGATGCCGGTGGTACGGCCCGAGGCGTAGAGGGAGAGCACGGCCTGGATGGCGACGTACATGGCGGGGGTGTTGAACGTCTCGAACCTGATAGGAGAGAGGAGGAGGT